CCGATTCAAAATGGCCCAAACAACAAAATAGTTTTGACACCCCTCGCTTAAAGGCTCACCTCACGTCCTGCCTTGGTAAACTGGTTAATTATGAGAAGTTAATCAATGAATTAATACAAAAAAAGAGATGTGCAAACTCAGGTCTTCTTGGAAACTTGGAGTAATATTTTTTCCTGGTTCTTTTCTTCGCAGTTTTGTGAAATACTGGTTAACTTTCTTTGGAAACCACTCCGTAGTAAATCCATTCAGCCATAACCAGGCTCTGAACATGTGAGCTAAACATAGGTAATAGGCAAATGTTATATAGTTATATTTTGAATCCTAAAGCATTTTTTATTCATTTGACTGTATTTATTTACCCCACTCTGGCCACTTTGGGTTGTTTTGTACTTTATTTGATCTATTTATGACACCACTTATCACAAGAGGAATATTGAAAGTGTAATGCTTGTGACCTTAAACACCACAGACATTTAGACATTCAAAGATTAGGGACGTTGCATTTCTTTTTTTTTTAGCAGATGTGTTTTTCATACTTTACTATTTTATAAATGATTAAACAACACTGTGCCATTTATCTTATGACCTGTTGTCAACCCATGCTATGAGGAACATTTACTCTTTCATTTCAACTTTGTTTGTGTGGATTTACAGAAGAAATTCACAAATCCGCACAATGGATAGCTGTTCATATCTAAACATTGAAAATGATTACAATGTACAAAGGATTACTTCAGGAGCCCAATACAACAGTCAATCTCTTCTCTCAGTAAGACTAGACACAAATATGTCCTTAAGGGCATTTTGTTCACAAGACAAAGCAAAAGGTGTCTCAATAAAAGAAAGACATACAAGTTTGTCTCCTAATCTACATGATGTCCTGACTGAGAAGGTTATGTTTGAAATGATTCAGAGTTAAATGGATCAGTCCTTTAACCAAAAGAAACATATCTATTGATGCTAAGCGATGGTTAATTGAAGTTAAGGCTTAAGGACATTCAAAGGGGATTATTAAATATGTTTTTTCAATATTGAGCGATTAATAGAGAACGCTTCACTAGTTACGCAATTATAAAAAAGTGGTTAAAAATCATAAATTGATTCAGTATTTCATATTTTTTCTTTGCTGGTTAAAGTCTCTTAAAGACTTTTATTTATTTTAAGACAGTTAATGAGTTTTTTTTTTAAACAAAACCAGCAGTTTTAATACATGCACCTTGGGTTCTTTACATGTTTCACTATTTTCTGACTGTATAGACCAAATTATGAATTAATTAGGCCATAAATAATGAGCAGATCCATTATGAAAATATCGTTAATCACGGTCCTAAAATGTGTATGTCTATAATAAACTAAATAGTCAATCTCTGACATTGACTTAACCAGCTGCATTTATCTTTATCCCTACATTCAAATGAGCACAAGTGGTTTCTCAAGCTTGTTTTTGTCCCGAGGGATCTCCTAAATGATCACTCATTATTAGATGATCTCACTGCTCTGAGTTTGTTATCGCCCCGGGGGGCCGCAGACCTCGGGGTGGAACATCCTGGCCTTGTCGATACATACTGTAGCTTTTGTGAGTATAACTTGGTCTTAGAGAGAACAATTATGAGTTCAAAGACCCCGGCCAGTGTAAAAGGGTCCTTTTCATGGTGTATTTAAGAGTGGACACATCTGCACAGACTAGACTACTACAGGGTCTTTGTCACTGAACATACCGTATGTATAAGGAGTCTAAACATGCTGCTGTGTGTGTGTATAGCCACTGGTTTAACTCCTAGATACATCTCTTATCATCCAGTTCTTCAGCTTGTTTAATAGCCAATAGGCAGATTAATGGATTATCGAGAGATCTTAGCGCCAGCAGGTCTTGAACTTTACTTTGCCCAACTTCACTAAATGTACTTGTTCGAAAATACACTGTTTGGAAATGTGACATTCACTGCTAACGCACAGCAACTGCAGCCATAGCAAACAAGAAAGCTTGTTGTTTACCAGCTTCCTTTAGCCTTCCACAGCCCCGAGGGCAGCGTCTACTTAACCCTCAAAAAGAGTCCGAAACACGCTGCAAAAACACACACAAAGCAGACTGCTGTGCTGCGAGAAGACGCAGGGTGAGAGCTCACAAACACTGATCTGTGTTTTTTTTTTTGTATTTGCATGCTTTGGGCATTCCATGATGGTCCGACCAGGATACATTAACAAGAATGCCCCCATTTGCTACGCGGGCTAGAAGAATAGGCCACTTTGTTTCACAGTTAAGCTGCTAACATGCTCTGTGGAAGCTGCAGACAACGACTGTGATGCTAATGTGAGCAGCAACATCACAGCAACCTGCTGTCTGCTGCAGCACCTGACGTATTGTCAAGCTATTGTGCAAAAAACACAGCTAATTACCAACGGAGCATAAACCTTGTGTCCTTAAATGATACATGTTGTGGTACAATTAGCATAGATGCGAAGGAAATAGGGTTTGACCATGTGGTTTGCTGGTTTACGGCTGTTGTATAACTAATAATACATAAAAAATGACTGACTAAATTACCAAATTAAACAATATTAGCTTATTTAAAAAAGCAATGCAAGTAACATTTTACTGTATGGTACATTTCAGAAAATGATTGCACTACACTACTGTATGCACACTAAATATGTTAAAAATATAAAGTATAATTTTTTTTAAATCACAGATAACGACTTTTCTCTCAAGTCTCATGGCATTAACTCACAAATGCAGCTAAATGAGATATCTGTGGGGTATCTTTGTATACTCTCTGATGTGTACTGGTCACGAGCTACCCCGATGGTATAATCCAAATGAAATGTTGGACAACGGTAGAAGAGTACTTTGTTCTTTTTGTGGCACTCATGTGAAAAATAAATCATTTTTTAACCCTTTTAGGAAGTTATCCTACATAAATTTCAAAGCAGTGTTTTTTTCCCTCTCTCTTAAATATGCCGTGGAATGGAGGCAGTGGGGGCTAATTACGAGCATTCTTCACTGAATTAGCGTTCGGTGTGTGGTAAGGCTGTGCTCGCCTTCGTCTTGATCCCTTAACTGATCCCTTACTTAGTCTCCAAAAGGTCAGAGGTCACTTGGTTAATTAAGGGTCCAATCAGTCTGTAGATAAACTCATCTGAGCTTAATGTTTGCACTTTTTTAAAGTTCCAGCAGCTCCGCCTGGTACCCCTGAGCTGTCCGTGCTAATCTACCCACAGACAGGGGAGTAGGTTAACCCAGCTCAACAGCGCCAAGCTTCAACGGCCTTTTCATTTCAAGGCCTTCAGTCAATGAAGAATGTCTGTAAGCTCTCGCTAAAGCAGAGAAATTACTCTAACTTGGTGTATTGTACACAGGGCGAGGGTGCGGGGGCCTAAACCTCTCAAAGAGCAGTAGATGTATGCTTCAGAAGCAGAGCAATGTTTTCAATGGAGATACTGTATTTGTCCTTCTCTGCTGGCCCATGCTGCACACATCCAGGGTGATGAAAGAGGGGCTGAGCAAGCAACCATGAAATCTGGTTGTGTTGTGGATCAACAGAGATTACTCACTTTATCAGTGCTTTGTTTGACTCTTAATGTGCGGCTAAACAATTACAACTTTGATGTATACTCTAATTAATTGAGCAGCAATGTGTTATATACCTGATCCCCAAAGAAGTCATTATTCACTGACAAGAAACGTTTAGCTGTGGTATGAAAGTCAGATTTTTGCACCAAGTATTTCAAATTTGTAGCAAAAGACAAAAATCCCCTTAAGTGTCATATATTTTTCCAAAATGAAAAACCTTGCATCCATGATTACACAGCTTTTTGAAAATAATGGTAGTGGAAATCAATGCAAAAACTGAAAGGTTCATTTGTCTCTTTCTTAGAAAATGGAAAACTCACAGGAGGTAAACACATGCACACCACAATATACGTGTGAGCATGTGTTCTCAAAACAAACGTCCTAAACATTTCCATTACATTTGTAGTAATGTAAAAACCAACTGCTCCAAAAAGGTACAAAACTGAATTTAAAGCAATTCACTTGAAAGTTTTGTCACTAACCCCTGCAAAAGAAACCAAACAAAAACTTGTTTGTGCAAATTACACACGTTTTTTATATCGATAAGCACTCAATTACATGAAAATCTACTATGCAGGTCAAAAAGATCAATCAATCAATCAATGTTTATTTATATAGCCCAATATCACAAATGTTACATTTGTCTCAGTGGACTTCACAGTTTGTACAGAATATCAGTATGACAATACGACACCCTCTGTCCTTAGACCCTCACATCGTACAAGGAAAAACTTCCGGAAAAAGATGTGACCGTAAAGCAGCAATAACACAGAAATCTGTATCCACATGTTCACCGCCACACAACACATTTGTATCGAAGGATTATAAACTCTCAGAAAACACTTAAATAGTAGAAAAACTTACCAGACTGCCTTTGTAAAAATTATCCCTCAAACAAAACAGTGTCTACTCGTACAGAAAATCTCCACAGTCTCCTGTCCCTCGGACTGTGAGGGAATCAAAGCTATGAAAAGATGTGAATCTAGCTGAGCAAATAGGATTAAAGATGGCTAAATCCAAATGGCTGGAAGCACAGCATGCATTAAAGAGGAATTCTCTCAGGAAAGATAATCCCCATATACGCATTTTAACACACTTCACTCACTCCTGAGTTTTTTTACACACAGTCATAGTAAAACCACTATAGCCTGACTGTCCACACACATACACACACACACACACACACACACACACACACACACACACACACACACACACACACACACACACACACACACACACACACACACACACACACACACACACACACAGCATCTAATAATACAGCGCTGCCTGGTCCATACAGACTGTAACCATGACACACGCAACTTCTCATTCCAGACGTGGAAACTTTACACTGTATTCAATGTGTCAGCGTGCTAATCATACATGCTGACATATATTATTTTCCTACCAATGTTTTTTTTACCTTGAGCACCTCCATTGGCACCTGGGCAGCAGGCGGCAGACTGGCAGGGACGCTGACGTTGATGGCAGGGGTCTGTGCCGCTGTGGTTTGTGGGTAATGGCAGGCCTCTTGTTTCTGCTGCTCCCGCCACTCCTGCTCCTGAAGCTGCTCCCGCATCAGCTGCTGCCGCAACAGGATGCGTGATGTCATGGCGGAGGAGCTCAGCGGGGGCTTGGAGGAGCCGTGCTGCTCCGAAGGGCTGCCGCAGAAAAGAAAAAAAAGATGCCAGATGAATGAGCAGAGACAGCGAGCGATGTGGAGATAGTGATAACACAGAGAGGGTAGAGAGGGGTCAGACAGGGAAGGAGAGGTCAAGCAAAAGAGACGAGAGAGGAGGAAGATCAGAGAGCAGCAGAGGTAGAAGAAGATGAAGGGAGAGCAGATGGAATAAAAGGTTAATATGAGCGAAGGGCAGAGATCAAAAGGAACATCTTAACTGTAGAGCTGCAGAGATTTGATGATTCATTGTTTTGATTTGCTAAGATAATGAGCGAGCGTATATTCAGACTGTTAATCGGGACAGGGATTTGAAAAGCACTAATGTCAAACTTTTGCAGGTTCCAGCCTGTCATGATGTTTTTGAATATTGATTTGAGAAAAACAAGCACTTAGAAGACATAGCTATGGCCCTAGGAAATGTTGATGGTTTTTTGTTTGCTATCTATTGACATTTAATGTATTATCAAGAACATAATTGGTAGATTAGGCCCTGTTTTTATGCAACTTCCAAGATATAGACATAGTACAATTAAACCACTCAGCATTAATTAAAATGCTATTTTCAACAGATAAACTTTCTGATTCTGAATCAGAAGCAGAAACAGGTTTATCGCCAAGTGGGTTAACACATACGAGGATTTTTCCTTGGTGTACATGGTGCATACATAAACACAGTTAAAGAAGATATAAAGTAAACAAAACAACAAAACAATGAAATAAAAACAATTGAAACCTATTATAAGTTAAGATATGGGCAATTATTTACATGAAATCTGGATATACTATAAAACTACGTGCAGTATACTATTGCAAAGTACTTCGAATAATACAATAAAATAAAATATGTACAGTATTGTTATGGAAAGTGGATGAGAGTATACAAATGTGCAACATATTTGGAGGGTTGTGCAGAACTGGCAATACTTAGATTAAATAAATAAAAACAAGAAATATTACATAGTGTGCATTGATGTAATGTCATGAAGATGTTTGAGAGCTCCTAGTACATTAGAGGAATTAAACCTCAACAGAAAAGAGGAACAGGTTTCATAAAAGGTTGCTTCAGTTTTCCCACTCTCTTAAATTTAGACGGCTGCTCCCCAGACAGAGTCCTAAAATAGAGAGGCTCTGCTGAAGCAGAAGTTGCCGGGATGAAGCCTTCATCGAGTGAGCGATCCTTTGGACAAATCTCAGTAAAACGTCTGGCCAATCCAGCTGTGCAGTAATCGCACTAATTAGCCAGTGGAGTCAAACACAGCTTCGGTCTGCAGCGTATTCACTGGGTGTTGAACCCTCAGCATACCATCATTCTCCCCCCAGTGCTGCACATAATCTCATTGTCTGATTCCACGCCCACTGAACCCTGCACAAGAGCGAAAACACGCTACGGTGTAACAAAACGCCACATTTTCAGACTATTATCTACAGTCAAATCAGATTAGGTATTGTCCTTTAGCAGAGACATCTCTCATTCACTCCTGAAGACAATGCTGATACAGATACATTGATTATTGATCCTCGATAAATCAATTAACAAGTAGTTTTAATGAGGGCGTTACAGCAGAACAAACACTGGGGTTTTGTCTCTAAAAGTCCTGCAGCAGTTTGGGACCCTCAAATGTTTTTGTGTCAAGTGTCTTTGTACTTCCCCCGCTATAGAGAATCAGGTTTAGTGATTATATTTATAATTCCTTTGTCTGTGTGACTTTAGGCGATTGTGTTTCCTTTCATCCCCTAAGTTTCAAACTAAAGTGACTGGATCTAATGTCAGCTTTTTAGTTTCCAGAAATCCTTTGATTTGTTTCTTTAATCTGTTTCAGTGTTTGAATTTTACACAACAGTAGTTTAATTTCCTTTGCCCCCACACGTGTAGCTAGAACAAACATAAAAAGTGAATTTCTTTCAAAAAGCCCACATTTTTTAAATGCAAAATATGATGAGATACGATATTTACTACATTACTTCCTTAATTACTTTTAATGTGGAAAAGTAACATTTTGGGATACTTTAACTTGGAGTATGTCATTTCATTCTTATACGTCTATATTCAAATACAAATCAGAGGTAAATAAAGAAATGATTATTAATGCAAAATAAAATGAACAATACAATTATGATGTATTATTAAACTGAATAAAACTGTTTCCGGCCAGTTTAAAAAGTAGTTGGAATATTTCCACCTTGACTAGCAGTGATTACAGTTATTTACAGCTAAATGCATCAATAATAATAATAATGCAATATTATAACATATATTTCTGAAATAATGTCTACTTTTACAAACTCTGATATTCACTATAATTAAAGCTTAACCCAGTGTAATGTCAATTAATGCTAGACGCTGTTAGAACACAAGTCATTGGATTACACAGGATGTAATTTGTCATAAACCAAGGCAATGGCAAATATAAATCAGTGAGCTGCTTTAAGCGCTGGAGGAAAAGTGAGGAGTTCATCAAAGTTATTAGGATTCATAGTGTCGGAATAACAATATGCCTCTACCAAATGATGTGCCAATAGATCACGAAGATGTTGAGATATTTCACTAGATAAGTTAAAACTTTAAGTGCTGGTGGCGCTAGACAAAATGTCAAGGATCACCAAATATATTATGAATTATTATGTGGGCACAATGGATATCTACCATACGCAAGACTTAGATTTTACAGTTATAATATGAACTTGCCAGTGCTCTCTGGTGGATCAAATATGTAATAGTATCACTGTTTTCCCTTTCCAGTAGTTCTTTCCAATTCTCTCCCACACACACACACACACACACACACACACACACACGCACACACACACACACACACACACACACACACACACACACACACAGTCAATCAGATAATCAGAAATGTATTAAAGGATATCATGAGGCGCTACAACTCTCAATAAATCTTTGCTATATTGTAAACTTTGTGACATCTATTTTTAAATGGAGACGAACGGCCTGATTGATAAACATGGCTGATGTTACCTGCTTATCAGAGATTTATTGATTTGTATTACAGCTGATTTCATGGCAAGAAATTCCAGACACAAATATAATTAAAGAGGACATATTCTGCTCAGTTTTAGGTTCATATTTGGATTTGGTGCCTCTACTGTGACATATTTCCATGCTTTCATCTTAAAAAAGGTATTTATTTGTCTCATACTGCCTGTGCTGCAGCACCCCTTTTCACCCTCTTTCTGAAACTAGAGACAAGTCTGCTCTGATTGGTTAGCTGGCCGGCTCTGTTGTGATGTCCCGCCCCTTAGCCTATCACGTACAATGTATTGGAGTGCTAGCCAATAGAAGAACGAGTGTGTGTGTGTGTGTGTGTGTGTGTGTGTGTGTGTGTGTGTGTGTGTGTGTGTGTGTGTGTGTGTGTGTGTGTGTGTGTGTGTGTGTGTGTGTGTGTGTGTGTGTGTGTGTGTGTGTGTGTGTGTGTGTGTGTGCGTGTGTGTGTGTGTGCATGAATGACCAGAAGCCTGTCTACAAAGTAAAGCTCCACTTCCCTCTCTCTGTTACTTCCTTTCGACTGTTTGGTGGCTTTTTGCCAAAGTGACCACTGAAACACATAAAAAGCTCTTTTGTCCCTTTAAAAAAAATGTTTCTCGCGTGTGTGTGTGTTCACTCCTCTCATGTTTGTGTATCTCAAAGGAGAAAAAAAAAATAACAATGGCAGTACAGTGCTGAAGAGCCCCACCCACCCAACCCATGATTCCTCTGATTCGGCTCACTACAGCACTCCATCACACTCCATTATTAGCCAACTGTCAGAGCTGAGGCTTTGATGAAGGTATTACTGCCCAACAGCACTCAGGGAGACGAAGAAGCTTTGCATCCTGAGTGAGGAGAGGCTAAAACACAACGTTTAATGTAGAGAAAGACGTCTGATCTCTGTCCAAACTCTGAGCTGGTGGAAAAATAAAGTACAGAACAGACACCACTTATACTGCTGCTGGTAACTGACTGGAGCTAATAGCACTGCCTAATGGACACTAATGGTGCAACAACAACTTCCTCTAAAAACTAATGGCATGGCAAATTAAAACCATGTATTTACTGTTAGAAAAATCATTTTCCAACTCTTCTGTGATTATCCATTCAAAAAAGAGAGGGTATCAAAGTGACACAAAATCTGTATTGGTTCTCAAAATCAATGACAAATGTAAACAATGTCTTAATTTAACAAACAACTAAAAATGATGATGATTATTAACCAGGACCAGCTTAAGCACCAGAAACAGAAAGCTCACTGCACGCAGAGAAATCTGCTGAAGCTGTTATCGTATTTACTTTACATAGTTCTCTGCGAACTGTACATGTTGTGTACATATACTAATACAAAGTCATGCAAGCATGCAGAGACGCCATACTCACAAAGGGTCAAATGAGCAGGGTCTGTGCACTTGCACTCCTACAGCCTCCATATTTATTTATTTCTTTGCACCACCCACCCTTGGAGAGCTATGAAAGTCATGCCGGTGCTGCAGCGCTGAAAGTGTGTCAAAGGTGGGAGTGTCCGGGGCCGGCCTGGACTCTCCAATCGCCTCACAGAGAGGAGAGGGCAGGAGACCACTGATACACACTGCCCATCAACTAAATACATTTAATTTATATAGCGCTTCTCATCTGCCAAGACAAATCTCGAAGTGCTTCACAACAAGGGATATTGATACACTTTGAGAGATTAAACAAATAATTGTAATAATAATAAGAAATCAAAAAATTAAAAATAAAATAGCGTACAAAAGTAAAAGTCGGAGATAGCGATAAAAATGGCAATACTCCAGGTGTACCATGCTCAAAGTTTATTGGAAGGCCTGCCGAAAGAAGAGCTAGAAGAACTAGCTGATTTAAACACACTGTTTCCCTTGGAGGCATGAGTCCTGACTGCTCAGTGGACGACGAGCAGACAATCTGTAGTCACTGCATGTATCTCCAAAGTGACAACTCTTTAGCTAAAAGCAGTGGTGTTTTGTGATATGTGATAAAGGATTGGTAATAGATTGTGTCGCCCTGGTGTTAAGCAGTATTTACATTGTTACTCTACCTATCTTTCTATAAAGTGAAGATTTGTTGACCTACTTTTGATACATGCTCTGATAGAATAACTGTATGCTGTTGAAAAAACCCAAAAAACAAAGTTTAAAAAGAAAAAAAAGGAAATAGATTGTGTCCTTTCTCACTGTTATCGCTCAGCAAATGAGATCGCAGAAAAGCTGTCCTGCTGCAACTAGCTGCTTGTAATGATCCTGTCTCCTTTTGTTTGTCTCAGAGGCTGCAGGTGGATCACAGAGGAGATCAGGCCCTCCTGGCTGACTACCCCCCCGCTCAGCTGGAGCACAGCGCAGTGATTATGTAGCTACATGGCGGTAAATTGATCCACTCGCGCCCCCCTGCTGATCACTACACCCCAGCGTGCTGCAGCTGGCATCACCCCGCAGGAGAGATATCCAGCACATCTGTGACGACAAACATCTGGATGCAACTGTTCATAAATGAAAATGGATTATATGGTTCAAACAAAACAAAACCAACATAGCATATTGTTATGTGCATTCTACAAAAAAATGCAACAAGTCTTGTTACTAGAGCAGAGAATTTGACTTAATGAATCACTTTTTAGCTTCAGTTGCCAACTCTTCTTAAAGTGTAAGACATTTTATTCAAGCAAAATCCAAACCTTTGAATTAAGTAACAATACATTTAGCATATTTTGAGTTGTTGCACACCTTACTGAGTCCAAACAAGACATCTGGAGACATCATCCAACAACATCTAAATACAAATGTGTCCAACACGTTAAAAAGTATGACTATAACAGCGATAACTAATAAGTTGCTCTTAAGGAAGTAGCTTAACCGGCCCCTGTAATAAACTAGCCAATTAAAACGTGCTACTACTAGACAGTGCCTAACAAATCACACAGTGTCAAATAAAGTACATATAGAAACTCTAAAAACCACATACATCTACAAAAATCTATTGTCATCGCACCAGGTACAACGACATTTAAAAAAGCAATCCTCGCAGTGCATTTCCACATAAAACGGAAAAATATATATCTATATAAACATACACACACATAAACATGCTCACACATCCATACCAACATGCATACATGCCTGCACATAATTTAAATACAGTTTACAATATAAAAAACACAGGGATAATACTTGGCATCTCTGATGTCGATCAGTTAATAAATTAATAAAACTATTAAAAAGTAGTGCAGTTGCAAATTGTTACTGTGTGTGTGCTAGTTCAGCGTTTGACGGTGTTCAGTTCTGTAATAGCACACCGCTCTGTACAATAAGTTTCTTCATGCAATGCGCCTCATAAGTCATCCTCCCTGCTCCTCACAGTTGTTCCTGTCAGTAAACTCTCCTGAGGGCTCAGCTCTATCAATGGCTTTATCTATTCCTAACTGTGGGAGGAAATTCTTCAAAAAGAATCCTAATACTCAGAATTGTATTCAAATGTTCTCTATGAAGCGCCATGAATGCAGCCCCCGGGGGACTATATACTTGTGTAACTCGTGATTTCACATGTTTGCCAAATGCAGCGTCCTGCCGCTAACAATGGTCAGGTGGTCTGGTGCCCCTGGATCACAGGTGCAAGGGGGCGTGGCCTGAAGAACAATAGGGAAGTGAATTGTTTGGTCCTGTGTTGAAGCAGAAAGGCTTTTGGAGATAGACAGAGGAGCTATGGATGATCCAGGCTGCACACTCGGCAGATGGAAAAGGCATTTGGATCTTTTTTTGATGGTAGATCCTCATGTGAAGAAAAAATGGGAGACTTTTTTTTAAGAATATTGGGAATATAGCAACCAGAGGACTTGGGATCAACTAGGCCGGACTCCTAATCAAGATCTATGTGCGGTAAATGTCAGTCTTTTGGGTTTTTTATGCATTTCTACAGCTCTTTATCTATACGTCTCATTTAAAAGGAAAACATATGGCAATTTTTTGTTTTATTTTACATTTTGGTTGGACTCTGCGGGCTCTATAAGGAGGCCTTGTTTGAGTTGAACTATCTTTGTTGTCAACCTAGTAGACATGAACCTAATGGTCGGGCAGGGGTTTGTTTTCTTAAAATGTTTTGTTATTTGACATTTAGTACATTAATTCCTAGCTTTTGTTACCGTCAGCAGGGAGGCCCAACATCCTTTTTAATTTCCTTTTTAAATAAGGCTTTTTGGTCTTGGAGTTTCCTCATTTGGACATCTTCTTTCGAATTATATTTAACTATGCTTAAAACCCAATCTGTTAATTAAACAGTTGTTGGGTTTTTTGTATATATTTTATGAAATGCTCAACAGTGGAGGATGTGCTACCTCTTCACAAATAAAGCAACAGTCTTTAATCCGTATCACAACATTTCTGAAATGAATAAATAAGCCGATTTAAGTCAGTTTCTTAAGAAAAAATTACAAGAAAGTTGACCAATTGCTTAAACAAAGTGTCTTCTGTGTTGTGGTGGTCAAAACATGCAATTTGTAGACTTTACATTATTGGTTTCTAAGATATACTTCGCTTGTCATTGTTTTTACTATCTTCTGACATTTCAATAGATGAATTGAGCAAGAATTCAGCAGACTTAATCAATAATGAGCTGAGTTATACAGCCCTTCAATATTTAGCAGGAAGCAGGATGCTGTGTAGGAAGTGCTGTTTCAGTGTTGTTGCAGTCCCTGCCTACTGGTCACCAACAGAGGCTGACAAAAATCACACATTTAAATTATTATTAATACTCTTGAAGCAAAGCAAAACAATTCCAAAGTTTGTGAAAATGATCCGATGTGGAACTGTAAAGTGCTTCAAGAAGCCACAAGTAAAGGTTAGGACGCAGCAAAGTGATCCTAACTGCAGGACAAGTTGTGAGGACGGACTTTTACTGCAACCACCTGTCTGTGTCATTAAGCTCCTGTCCCTATTAGCTCATGCCTGAAACCCGTCACCTTCAGACATCTCTGTCTACGATATCCCCTCGGGAACAAGCTGTTCCCAACACTGCACTTTCATAACCCTCAACCCACGATTCAGCTGTCTCTCACAGGCAGATATCACCTTTTATTCTCAAATTCATAAAAACAAACCAGCATTTAAAGGCAATCGGGCACAATCTAATGTATTTGATATTGCAATATGTTCATATGAGGTCATCCAGGCAAACCATATGGAAATATAATAATTAAACCTCAATATTCATTTAATACAGACAGATTTGCATGTATGGCAACCTGTCCAGTATCATAACAAGTAGTCATTGATCGATCACTTGATCACATTATCAGTCTTGATTGATTATTCTTTGATTGAAAATGTCCTGATTGTGTGAATTTTAAAAGGATTTTTTTTTTAGCAAAGCCCTTGCAACTGTCTTTGTGTTTATATGGAATGAACCATTATTAATATTTTATTAAAAGAAGCAAAGTTATTGTAAGATTCTAAGTAATATATTATAGCATTTTTTATGCTGATGCAAAAAGTGTCACCCATCTATGTGAGATCATATCTGCTTTTTTAAAATACATTTTATGCTTTCTAATGCACTTTTCTCATGCATTAGAAAGCACAAGACTAGGGCTGCACGGTTTGGGGAAATAATCTAATTGAGATTTTTCTGACAGATATTGCGATTCGATTTGGGATATTTGTTTTTAAGCGACCCAACGGAAGTTCACTGTAAAATGCGGCCATACCTCCGGCTAGGAAGGTCGTATCAACGTGCTCCCGTCTCTAGCACCCCCGCAGCCCGAGCTACGAGTGAAAGAACTAAACTTACATGGAACTTCCGTTGGGTTGCTTTAAAGTCAAGCTTCAGTTTAAGGTTCACCCTGTAATAGAAACATGTGATGGAGCATTACTAACCTGACTCAGACGCTTTGTTTCACCAAACCATCTAGGAAAGCTCCATTGGAAGCCATTTGGAAAAGTATTTCAAAAAGACTTGGCAGCTGATTGGATCAATCTGTCTATCACCTTCTATCATGGGCCACTTCTGATTGGTTAACAATGGCTGGTACATGTGGAGCACAGCCATACTTGCCAACCTTCCCGATTTTCGCGGAAGACTCCCGATTTCATTGCCCTCTCCCGGTTTCCTCCCGGGGTCATATTTCTCCCGATTTCTGACAAAATCAGATTTACTCACGACTGTTTCCACTCGGACTTTAATACAGCTCCACCATTGTTTGGTTTCCATGGTAGCCCGATTTCTGAGGTCTCAAGGTTGGCAAGTATGAGCACAGCACTTCTGATTGGTGTGGATGACTGACACACAAGAAGAAAAACATAATTAAAAAAGAAAGAAAAGTTTTTTTTTAAATCGCGTCATTTCAAATCGCAATTTCGATTTAAAATCGATTAAGACTTCACTTTGCATGCCAAGTCAGCCAGAAAATAATGAGGCTTCAACTCTCAGTTTCAGAGTTAACACATCCACTGCTAAATATATATCTTATTCACACTGCACAGTAGACTAGCTTCACTGTCTGTTTCGTGTCTATGTTCGGCACAAAAAGTCTGGCACATCGTCTGCAGCAGGCTGAGCGCTCTGTCAAACTGATTTAAGAACACAAATATGTCTTTGAAATGATTTTGTCACACCTCAGATTTCAAATTAGAAACCACAGGGGTAATAATGACGGGATATGACACCAATAATCAATGGAACTAATTATATCCATTTTGTGCAACAATGTCTCGCAACACTGTCATCGTGACTGTGCTGGATCATCCTCATGTGATGGGAAGAGGAAGTGGGACGCCTTCAATCTAAACAACTTTTCAGACAACTTCACATTTTCCAAAGTAACTGGCATGAAATAATCTGTGATTCCTCGCTCGCACTGAGACTGGATGCCTTTGCTGCTCGGCCTGCGACCCCACAACACAACACAGCTCAGATTGTACGTGTAACAGTATAATGACATTTCACTAATCAAGTCATTAGTTTAAAAAATGCAGA